GTGTTTTGGGCTGCTCATATACACCTATATTCACTCCCATATGTATATTTAAATTGTTCACTTTTCCTTTTAATTTATTTTTTTCCTCACTGTCATCCATTAACACAGAAAGGACACTAGGGCACATAGTTCTATATTGTCAGAAGTTTAGCTCCAAGTAAAACCAGGCAAGGTATGTGGGGAAAGGATGGGGAGGAAGAAAGGGTAACCCTGCTTCTGACACTTTGGCTGTATACAGACACTTAATATGTATACATTGTTGAATTGAAATAACTTAAATTCAAAACCTTATGTGTATGTGTATATATATATATATACACACACACACATATAGATATATATACACATATATATAATGTATATGCCTAACACTATCCTGAGTGTTGTGGAAATTATAAAAAGAAACATTTAAGACAAGGATTCTTAACCTTCCTATGGATCATGGACCCAGAGAACTTCTCAGGAAAATATTGCTAAATGAATAAAATAAAATACATAGGATTTACAGAATAAACCAATTAAATCAAAATAAAGTTATCAATTTTAAAAAAATGACAAGTTCACAGACACCAAGTTAAGAATATATAATATATTTTTCTTACACACGTACATACATATATTGTGTGCTAGGATCTGGGAATACAAAAGACAAATATGACACAGGCCCTGTTCTCAAGAAGATTAAAATATAATTAGGGGAAAAATGAGGATACAAATAACTATGATACAAGAGAGAGTGAGATAAGGGCAAAGGAGAGATTTTGACAGTTTTAAGAGATATTTGAGATGGAAGAGATCCCTTTGATCACTTTCAGAGAAAACTTTTTAAATAAGTGCTTGTTGATTGCTTTGTAGAGGAATTGCAATCTGGTGGAGCCTTGAAAGAAGGGAAGGTCAACAATAAATGCATGTGGGAAAGGGCAGGGAAGGGAGTGCATTCTGGGGAGTGGGGGAATGCCCAATGTGAGTGAAGATGCAGAGATGAAAAAGGGCAAGACAAAAACAGAAGATGAAGATTAGTCCAGATTGACTGGAATGCAGGCTCTAAGAGTAGGATTTGAATGAGATAAGAAAGAAGAGGCAAAATTGAGCCAAATTTTAAAGGGCTTTGAATGCCAGCATCTGGCATTTATGCTTTATTCCATATGCAATGCGAAGCCATTGAAGTCTTTTGAATAGAGTAGTGCCATCATAGAAATGTAGTGGAAGATTACTCCAGTAGTATGGGGGAAGATTGATTGGACAGAGAACCTAGTGGAGGCATGAACACTATGAGAGATGCTACTATAACAACATAGGCAATAAGAAATGAAAGCCTGAATGAGGGTGGGTACAGGAGATAGAGATTGAGAGGTAGAAACAAAAGGACTTGGCAAATGAATCAGATGCTTGGGGTGAAGGAGAAAGAAGAGTCAAATTAGATATGACTTCAAGGTAATGAGCTTGGACGATTGGGAGAATGCACGTGTCATTTAAAAAAATGGAGAAATCGAAAAGGAGGCAAAGTTTTGGGAAGAAATTACTAGTTCATTTTTAGACATGTTCATTTTGAAGTGCCAGCTGGTTTTCCTAATAAAGATATCCAGTAGGCAGTTGGGAATATGGGTCTATAGCTTTGGGGAGACGTTGGTGTTAGACAAATTTGCCCATCATCTGTCTAAAGGGGGCAATTGAAACCAAGAGAAGGTTCAAAATCACTCAGAGAGAGTGTTGAGTGGGGCAGCTAGGTGGTGCAGTGGATAGAGCACTTGCCCTGGATTCAGAAGAATCTGAATTCAAATCTGGCCTCAGACACATAACACTAGCTGTGTGACCCTGGGCAAGTCACTTAACCCTACTGCCTAGCCAAAAAAGAAAAAAAAAAGAGAGTGTGGAGTGAGAAGAAAAGAGACAGGCTTGGTATCTGTTTACATTCAAGGGAAGAGAAGAAAATGAGGATCCTGAAATAGGAACAGTGGGATGGCCTGAAAGGTAGAAGAAAAACCATGTGCCTATAGTATCTCAGAAGCCCATGGGAGGAGAAGATATAAATAAGGGAGTCAGAATGAGAAAAGCAGTTCAAAGTCTCTCATGTCATAGGTCAATGATAATAAGGACCTAAAAACATTGATTTTAGTGATAAGGAGGACTTTAGTGATCTTAGTGTGGTGACTGCGTGATTGGGATGGAGGCAAGTTGTCAAGGGGTCAAGGACAGAATAGTAAGCAAGGAAGTTTAGGCAGCAAAGTGTATGCAACCTACTTTTTCTAGGAGTTTGGCTGTGAAGGAAGGGAGAGAGAAAGAATGATAGTCTGACCCATTTTAGGAGTATTTGAATTGAATTAGGCACCCATGTCAATTTTTTGGGCAGAATAGGAGGCTCTCTGGAGCCCATGATATTATTCATCACTTTGGGGTTCATTTAAACATACAAAAAATTAAAGTAGGGGTAAAAGCACTCATTAATCCTCTTTCCCCACTCCCCCCCATCCCCTACCTCTTAATAACTATATTTATTAATGATGTCTATTGTTAGCAAGTTGCTGCTAAGGGAGGAGTCTAAAGCCACAGGGAAACCCAGTTGAAGCTGATGGGCTTTGCCTGGACTATAGGCATTGGGAGCTCACTCTTAGGCCCTTACCCTCCCTGCAATTGACCTGGTCCATAAGTATTAGAAGCCACTGGAGGCTGAGTAGTTAAGCCATGTTTCTCTTTATTTCTTTTATAAATAAAAACCAAATGTGTATGAATTAAAACCAAAGGATCTTGGGATTAGCCAAAGTGTCAAAGAAACTAGTACTATTGTGGAAACATGTTAGCTCAGGGATCAGGGGTTGGGGAAGGGAGATGTGCATATAAGTTTGAACATCTGCCTACAAGAGCATGTTTGCTTATATGTGTTGAGGGGAATATAACCAGTTATGTGCTCAAGACAAGCCTTAAGGGCCCCCTGTTGCCTCCTCTTTTTGCCCACCTCTTCTTGTCCCTTTTTTTATTACCCACATCTTGTTTGACTACTTTTTGGTGATAGATCTTTTATTGTCTTAAGGAAGTAATTACTATAAGTGGCAAAAACACTCCTTTAATTCTGTGACATAGTTAAGTACAAGCTCTTAATGTTCATTCATAAGATTACAATTAAGTCTCTAGATATAGATTATCTAGATGTAGACTGCCCACTCAGCATATTCTCTGAACACATATTTAATATGAGGTTGGTTTCCAGCATCACCCCCTCACATTTATGAACCTCCTTTTTTACTTTTTGGTCACTACAGGCCTTGGGGACACCAACTATATTATTTTATAATGGGCTAAAGAAAAACAATTAGTAATATAAACCCATACTCTTTCCCCCACTCTATCCCACCCCAACTCTGTACCATCCTGAGAAAACTAGAGGATTGAATTACTGAGCCACAGTCAGTGATCTTTGAAAGATCATGGAAGATGGGAGAGGTACCATGGGACTAGAGAAAGGCAAATTTCTCAATTCTTCTCTCTCCTCCCAAAAAAGAAAATGGAGTTTGCAAACTATAGGTTACTGAGCATTTTTGATACCTGGAACAATTCTATAATGTGCTATTAAAGGGATGGTTAATGAACAACTAAAAACAGAAGCAGTGATCACAAAGAGCCATGATGGCTTCATTAAGAACAGATCATGTCAACTTAACCTCCTTTTCTTTTTTGACAGATTATTTGAGTGGTAGATATGGGAATTCCATAGAAATGGTTTACCTAGATTTTAGCAAAGCATTTGACAAAATCGCTAACCCTGTTCTCATGGACAAGATAGAGAGATATAGGCAAGATAGGAGTACAGTTAGGTGGATTTGGAAATGGTGACGCAAGAAATAATCATGAATGGTTTAATGTTATCCTTCGAGAAAATGTCCAGTTGAGCCCCAGGGATCTCTTCTTGATTCTGTTCTATTTAATGTTTTTATTGATGACTTTGATGAAGGCATAGCAATAGGCTCATCAAATTTGAACATGAGGATGTATAGGAGCTATAGCTAGGAGAGATACCTAACATATTGGGTGACAGGACTCCAAACATCTCTACAAGCTGTAAAGTTGAGCCAAATCTAATAACGTGGAATTTAATTGGGATAAATGTAAATTCTTACACTTGGGTTGAAAAAAATCAACTTCCTACATAGAAAGTGTGGGAAATGTGGGTAGAAAGTAGTTCATATGAAATAAAATTGGAGGGGTGGTGGTGTTATAGGATTACAAGCTTAATAAGTCAATAGTGACATATGGCAGCCAAGAAAACTAATGCAATCTTGGGCTTCATGGGGACTCTCCTCATAGAGTCCAGGAGTGAGAAGGAGATAATCCCACCATCCTCTGCCCTGGACAGGTCTTGTCTAAAGTATTGAGTTCAATTCTGGGTGTCATATTTTGGTGCCATTTTAATCAGTTGTAAAGCATCCAGAGGAAAGCATAAAGAGTTATAGGGGTCCTTAAGATGCTGCCCCATGAGTATTGGTTGAAAGAACTGGGGGTGTTTAGCCTGAAGAAGAAAAGACATAGAGCAGACATGATGGCTGCATCTTCAGGTTGTTGAAGGGCTGTCACTTGAAGAAAGATTCAGACTTATCCTAATTGGCCCTGGAGAGCAGAATTAGCAACAAGGAATGAAAGCTGCAAAGAGGCAGATTTAGGCTTGATGTAAGCAAAAACTTCCTAACAATTACAACTTTCCTAAAGTGGAATAGGCCACCTTGGGAGCCAGTGGGTTTGTCCCTTGTTAGAGATCTTCCAGCAAAGGGTGGATGACCAATTATTGGGTATGTTCTATAGAGGCTTCTTGTCCATAGATACATTGGACTAGATAACCTCTGAGTTCCCTTACAACGCTGAGATTTCTGGGATTTGCATATGGGGGTGTCCCAAAAGTCTTAGTGCCATTTTAAGCTTTGATAACTTAAAATGGCACTAGGACTTTTGGGACACTGTATCTCTCTGTGTGTATATGTAAGTACATAGATTTATGGTATACATATGTATACACACACATATATGTATATATGTGCATATATGAATATATACCCACTCACCTATATGTGTATACACACATTAAATTTCTATACATGCGTCCCATTCCCTTTGACAAACAGGTATCTACTTTGTAGTAAGTTAAGTCACATATTACAGTAAAGGTTCAAAGCCTCCAGTGAAGGGTAACTCACAAGGCAGTACAACTCTCAAACTTGCTTAATAGCACACAGATGTCTTGACCTTAGTCTGCTGTAATGGCTTCATATGAAGTCCTTATTTATCGGTGAGTAGTGAGGACAACATAGGGATCATTCCTCACCCCTGCTCACTAACCCCCTAACCAAGAAGTCCAACTAAGATGCCCTTTCCAGTTGGGTAATAAGGCAGCATGGTATAGTGAGTGGCAAGAGAACTGATCTAAAGTCAGAAGTTCTGGATTCAAAATCTGTCTGCTACTGACCACCACCTGTGTGACTTTAAGTCATAGCTTCTCTAGGCCTCAGTTTCCTCATCTCAGAGCTCCTTTCTAGCTCTAAATCTTAGGAACTCTGAAAGCTACCAGAGTATTTCATCCTTTGGTATTTTTCTTTTTTTTTTTAAACATGATAAAATACTACAAGTCTTCAAAATTTGCTCCTGAGTTACATATGATGAAAATTCCATCTTAAGGAAAGAGCATACTGGGGTGGGAGGAGAAGGAGGCAGGGAGCAGGGGGCTATTTTCAAGTATGTAGTTGCCATTATTATTTATATATGTGTGCGTGTTTAGTCCTACCATTCCACAGTCAAGGAAGCCCAGAAGAACAGGGAAGGAGGGAAAGAAAGAATATATAGAGAAACAATATTCTCGGAGTCTGGGCAAGGCAAAGAGATTGCTTTGAGGGCACTAAGGATAGGTCAGTTTTCTGCAAAGAGAAGGATGATGGTTAGCAGTGAGGAAGCATGCACATATAGGTAGATTTGAATGTCTGTAAAAGAAAGAGAAAGGAAAAGACTATACGTACCTAAAAACTTTGTTGAACATATAAAAGAATGAAGCAGAGGGGCTTTATAGGCAGCACCAGATTTAAATTTTGATACAATTCTCTATTGAAATGAATTTGGTGACCACGGCTCAGTTTATAGTTAATATCAGTATAGCCCCATCGGTATTTGTGGTGTGGTATGCTAGGTAGACTGTTCTCATGGGAAATCCTCCTTTTAGCTTTGAAGGAATGACCAAGGCCTCCTTCCTCTGAAAGACCCTAGGCATGAGAAGTCATCTCAGGTGTTTGGAATTACAAAAGAGGGTCCCAGGCAGGGAAGGTGAGGTTGGCAAACTCCTAGAGAAAGGGGGGGATGACTTATATTTCAAGAGCATTAAGAGTCAATACATGGTGCAATCACAGTTTGAATCTCTTGAGCCTCTTGCTGCTGAAGAAGGCAAGAATTTGAGCTTGTTCATAGTGGAGTCTCCTCTCCTCTTCTTAGAGAAGTTGGTCCATAACCCAAAGGCAAGAGAGAGACTTTCCTCCATGCAATGAGGGAAACAGGGTCAGATGCAGGGAAGAGATTCTCTGGTTTCAATGGAGGTAGGTGGGGTGATTCCATCGGTACCAAGATCTAGAATAGAGGAAGAAACCAACAGAGAAAGTAAAAACCACATTAGAAATAGTGCATATAACTACCAGTATGTGCATATATGTGCATATTTATGTCTATATTGATGACACTTATTTCTACAGATATATACATGGTCCTGCCTATCCATACATGTATACACACATGTATGCCTATATACACTATATGGGTATGCATATATACATATGAGCATTTATATATACATATATACACATGCACACACATATATATTACTCTCTCTCTATGTATATACATACATATATATTTTTAGATAGGTGAAACCTATAACTGTCATGCAAACAAATACACGCCTGTAATGTAGTATAGTAGAAATAGCACTGGATTTGGAATGAGAACTGGGTTTAAATCTTGACTCTGACACTTTGGATAAGCTGATTCCCCTGTCTGGGCCTCAGTTTCCTTCTCTGTAAAACAAGATATTGGATGAGATGACCTCTAAGAGTCCCTTCCTGCTCTAGATGCCATATAATCAGTTAGGAGGGCAGGGTTGCCTTTTCTCAGGCTTCACTAGTTGCCTTGCTGATCTGTATCAGACAAAATTATCTGGACAAGTTTGGGGCCCCAACAGCTCTAGAACTTAAAATTGTCCTGGATCTTGGAACTCAGACAAAACCTCCCAGATTGGGAGTTATGTTTCTGAGCCGATCCTTTGGTTCGTGAGCAAAGGAGTCCGTGAGTCCTTGATGAAAAGCCTCTCTCCTTTGGTGTACGTGCCAGGAGGCTGAAGTTTAGGGGGATAGGGGAAGGAAAGGGAGAGTCTGGCACCGTCCTGCTCCGAACTCAGCGTTTTCTTTGTGCCTCAACAGTGGGCCCATTTCAGAACAGCTTGGAGAATGCAGGGTTTGGCTTGCAATGAGCTGCACACTTGCAGAGCCCAGCACATGACCTAATCCTTTCTAATGGGAGTGTTTGGAAATTTCCATCACAGAAGAGAGGAAAATGTTGGCGAATCTGTTGACTTCAGATACTAGCCAGGAACAGTGACTGCGACTTCCCCTTTAATTCCCACCCTCCACAGGATAAACTCCAGAGAGTGACTCTTCAATCCTGTACTCTGGCTACCTTCCTCATCTATTTTTTTCCCCCAACACTTAGGGCTTGAACTATTTCTCATGGCATTGACTCCAGCTTCTCACCCTTCCTTGGCCTGATGTGGGGCATGCTGGGAGTCTCCCACCTTACCCAGAAGTGTTAAAACTGGAATTCACTGATGCTTTTGAGTGAGTCTGAGATACACTGGGGCTGCTGGCATGGAGTCCTGAGCCAGGAGATGAAGGTCTGCTGTTGTTCCCAGGGGAACAGGATGACGTTACTAAAAAGAGAGGCAAAAAAAAGGTGAAATCCTTCCTATAGATCCTAGGAGGCTCTTTCTCCTTACATCAACTCACTTCTTCACTTGCCTATCCCAGAAGGGATCTCACTCAATGACAGCTGGTGTGTTCACAACCTTCCTCCCCCCCCACCCCCCCCACCCCAGCTCCCAGCACACTTATACCAACACCACCCTGAGCAGCTCTGAACATGGTGCTCTTTGCATCATAGGAGAGTGGAAGAGCTGGTTCCGCAAGTCCTAGAGTTGGCAAAGACAGATGCTCATAGCAGCCAACTCCAGGAGGACACACCCAGGGCTGGGCATGGACGGCATTATCCCCTCCACTCCCACCAGCCCAAGAGATGAAAAGGGACTTTTTACTAAAGGACTAGTTAGGCCACAAGAGAAAGGAAAGAGAAAAGAGCCTGTAAGAAAGGGAGGCCAGACCACGGGGGTCTCCGTTAGGGCTTTTTGCACAAAGTTAAGCCAGCCAACCTGTCTAGTTTTCCCATCCCTAAAAAAAGAAAAAAGAGGCAGGATGTTATGGAACATGCACTGGGCTAGCTATAGTGCTGACTCTGCTATTTGCTACTGTGTGACCTGGGACAAATCCCTTCACCCCTCTAGGCCTCTCTTTCCTCATTTATAAGATAAGAGCTGGACTAGATCATAGTTTTACAGCTGAGATGTAATCTAATCCAATCTCCTCATTTTACAGATGATGAATCAAGGCCCAGAGAGGTTAGATTATTTATCTAAAATCCCACAACTAATAGTTAACAGAGCCAGGGGTTGAACTCAGGACGTACACACTTCAAATTCTATTCTTTTTCCACCATCATATGTACCACCATTGCAGTCAGATGATCTCTAAGGTTCCTTTTCAGCTCAGATTCTATGATTCTCAGGATTCCTCAATCACTTTTGAAACATTCTCATGAAACTTACCTGTTCCGGGCATGGTGCTGTGAACAGGAGTGACAGAGAGGGGGCCAAGGGACCCCGTAGTAGAGAGCTGAAAAGCAACAGAGTTTTTGTTATATTCTAGCTCCTCTCTACCTTTCCTGGACGTATCCCTTGGCACTCAGCCGCAGAGTGGGACAAGTTTGTGGTTCCATACACACAATTTGTTATCTCTCTCCTAGGAGAGTCTTCCCTACTGAGCACACATGAGCACCTAGCCCACATGTCTGTCTATTCTCACAAGTGGGTGCTACTGCGGACTCTTGCTCCATATACACACTACCCTAGTATATTGATAAATGCAATGCCACAGTGCCTCCTGGTGCCAAGGCAGGGAGAGAAAGCTGGATTCTTCAATCCAGTGCAGCTCTTTCCTGGAAATGAGATGAGCCAAAAGAGGCTGAACCAAAGAGAGGGCAGGAGGACAAACACCCAGCTTCTGGGGAAACACTTGGAAGACTTGAACTCAGACTACTGACCACCTCCAAACTGCCCTAAAGACTTCAAAGAATCATAGATTCATATTTATTGGAGCTGGAAGGGACTTTAGAAATCAGGCAATAAATAGCAGAGCTTAGGGCAGCTAGGTGGCACAGTGGATAGAGCACCAGACCTGGAATCAGAGGACCTGAATTCAAATCCAGCTTCACACACTTACTAGCTGTGTGACCCTAGGCAAGTCACTTAACCCCAATGGCCCCCCAAAAATAAGAAATAAAATAAGTAACAGAGCTGAGATGAAAATAAAAAGCTCCATTTCCTTGTCAGATATCATTAGTTGCTGAAAAGTTTGTCTTTATTCTGAGCTATATAATGTTCCTTCCCTTCCCTTTTTCTTCCTTATAGCCTGCCAAATGGGCTCTTAGTTGTCTAGGTGGGGTAGTGGACAGCATTTTGGCTTTGGAATCAGGAAGTATTGAATCCAAATTCTGCCTTATGCATTATGTGTGTCTGTGGGCAAATCAGTTAATCCCTCTCAGATTTCTTATCTGTAAAATGAAGATAGCAACAGTAATTGCCTTAGAGGAGAAGTGTAAGGATTAAACAAGATGACATACATAAAGTGCTTTGTAAACTTTAAAGTGCCAAATAAATGCTATTTATTATTTTGTTATTATTACTATCATTATCATCATTGTTGTTGGTTTTTGTAGGTAATGGTTAAGTGACTTGCTCAGGGTCACAAAATAAGTAGTGTCTGAGGTCAAATTTGAACTCAGATCCTCCTAACTCCGGGGCTGGTGCTCTATCCACTGCACCACCTAGCTGCCACTATTATTGTTACTGTTAAGAGGTAGTGTGGTGTAGTGGAGAGAGCCAGTCTAGAAACCAAGACCTGAGTTCAAATTCTGCCTCTGACTGAGGCTGACTGTGTGACCCTTGGCAAGTCACTTAACTTCTTAGTATTCTAGGCAATTCTTTCAGACTACACATAGCACAGAACATGATGATCTGCATTGGCAGAGGGAGTTTTCTCACCCAAGAGTTCCGTATATAATTAATTAAATCACAGGTCTAGTCCCTATCCCTACTATTGGGATGGATCACTATTGATTGATTCAGTCTGTAGACCTTTGAAGGGTCTGTAAGTTCAGGGAACTATGATCCCCCATCCCCCAACACACACACATTCTAGGATCTGCAATTCAGATTTTCCATTTCAGCAAGATGCAGTGCACACTTGTTTTCTAATTTATTAGACCCGGTTCCAATTGTGATTGTTCCCTTTTTCTTTTATTATAAGGCTCATCAATAGGCTGGGAATGCACAGACATGGGAGTGGGGCCAGGGTAGGGGAGAAGCCCCCAGTGGCTCTCCTGTGACATCCCAAGAACTTCTGACAAATACTTTCAGACTTGGCATCCCAAGCACCTCTGAGTCCTTTTCTCTCCTTTGTCAAATCCCAACTCTGTCCCTAAAGGACTATGTGACCTTGGGCAAATCATGTCCCATCTCTAGAGCCCAGTTTTTTCCTCTCTAAAGTGAGGATGCTGGATTCTTCTGGCTCAGACATTCTGTGATTCTGCCATTCCCTTGTCTCTCTCTGCCTCTGTCACAAGAGCAACCCACTTAGAACAAAGTGTCTCATTCCCTGCAAAGCGCAGAAAAATCAGGCCTCTCATGAGGACAAAGGTGAGTGAGGACAAAGGAATTAGCAAAGCAAGACCCTTTCCTCCAAGAAGCCTGAAAAGGTTATCTTGGTCAAGGAGCAGTAAGAGAGGAGCTAGTGAAACTTTCAAACATTTGAGAAGAGTGGAGGGAGAAATTAGACTGTCTTCTCCCTCTTCTGCTCCTCCCTGCTTCTGGCAGGCAAACCCAATAATGTCATGTGTTGGGAGAGAACCGAAACTGGAACCTGCCTGGCATTTTGCTCTAAGCAAAGTCTGACGCTGAGCCCAGGCAGGGACCCTTAGACTGGCCACTTAGAAGCCAGTTATGTTTTTTTTTTCTTTTTTTTTTACTGGGTAGAAATAAGCCTTTATTTCACTCACCATAGAAAATGTATAAAATACAAAGAACTCATAGGAGTCCGCAAACAATGGAAGAAACATAAAATATTCAAATAGCCCATTAGATTCTCTTGAAGGTATATACACTTTGGGAATAATTGAATAAGTATACCCCGTGCACCTTGGACCTGCACTGTCTGAGTAACTTATAGGACTTGGACACAGGGTTGGCAATCTCTTATACATCAACATGGTTCCAATTCTCCACCGGCAGGGGTCACTTTGATAATCCTTTTCCCTTTTTTTTGGCTTTTTAATCTCTGCAGGTTTACTTTAGAGCCAATGTGTTTTAATATACTACAGAACAATTAAGCTAATAAAATACAACAGATAAACCATAGTAATTCCACGTGGCTTCTGTACCAAATCACAATGCTCATTGAATATTCAAACCCTCAAACAAAAATGTTTCTTTAAATAACTTTAGCATATTAAAAAAAAAAAAGCTCTCGGGTATGTCAAAGCATTCAAAAAATAAACTAAGAAACTTAAACTATTAAAATGCTACCTATTTTAAACTTATGGCAGATGTCAGTGTCAGGTACACTGGAAAATCATGGCCGTCAAAAGTTAAGTTTTGTGCACCAAAATCATAACTGGCAAACAAATATTTTCGAATTAAAAAATCACTTGTGGGGCAGCTATGTGGTGAAGTGGATAGAGCACTGGCCCTGGATTCAGGAGGACCCGAGTTCAAATCTGGCCTTAGACACATAACACTTACTAGCTGTGTGACCCTGGGCAAGTCACTTAACTCCATTGTCTAGCCAAAAAAAAAAAATCACTTGTGCCATTTGGTAAGAGAATATTCTGATAATATTTAAGGTGTGGGGAACATTATTGGATTCTATGAAATTTTGTGAAGTGATCCAAGAGGGAAATCAAATGCAAACAATGTAAATGTAGTGTTGGTGTATGAACCATGTTTTAGTTTGTTTTATAATTGATAATATATTTAAATAATTTGTACTGGTCTTCTAAAATCTCCCTTTTTGGTGGGGATAGAGTTATCACAAGAATAGATGTGGGAGATGAAAATAGTGCCTAACCTAGAAAAAGAAACATTTTGCAAAGATGGTTTACATTTATCTGAGTCCTCGATCCAATCAAGTCTTAAAATACACTTATTTTTGGTCAACTTCAAACAATTTAACTTAAAACTAAAAAAAAAAAAACAATTGAAGTCTGGGGCAAATGGTGACTTTTTCAACACTCCTTAGTACCACTTCACCTGATGAACACTTGTCTAATAATGTTCTACGTTTATGAACATTTGCTGCTACATAAGGTAATTGTCCAGAATTTGGATTTGTGCTGTTGTGTATTACTTGTATGTGGATTCTTCAACATTACCCCAAATTTACTTTATGTTCTAAAATTGTCATGCCGATTTAGTCTAATAATCATAGTTCCTTGGTGATGATAATTTCAAGTGGGCATTTAACATTGTAGTAACTTAGAACTGAAGATTCTGATACAGATTTTGACAGGCAATGGTAGTGACCACAGAAGAGACAAATCTTGTGCCAAGTGCAAGGTATGAAAAATTAAGGTGCTTTTAACTATCCAAAACAACTACTTTCAAATTTATATAGTATGAAAAGATAGTTTTCAATGTATGAAAGATTTCATTAATGTGCTAAACACGACCATTTTTATCACCTTCTAGTCACATCTAGCTACTCACCCTGAAGAGGCCTAACAAACTCTCTAAGAGAAGTCAGTTACTTCTAAAGCACAGCTAAACCACAGGTGCTGAAACACAGAGGCAAGGCCAGGGAGATGGAAAGTGGAACAGGCAGCTCTAAACAGAGACCCACTTGGGAGCTGGGAGGAGACCTCCCACCCTCCTTTTGAACCCTTGCTGTGCTTCCCAGAGGGCACAAAATTTAGGGGAGTCTAAAGCAAGACCATTTTACTTCCCCTTTCTCTTCTTTCATCTCTCTCTCTCCTTCCCCCAGAAAAGTGAAAATCAGGCTATTGCCACCCTCATGACGGGAGTTGTTTGTCCTTTGTATTCAGAGGACCGATGACATCAGGAGGGTGATGCAATGACTTGCAAGTGAATTGGATTTAAGTGAGGCAGGACTGTACAAAGTCATTGGCCTCATTCTCTCCTCCAGAGTCACTGGAGTCCAGTGGCAAGACATAGATCAGGAGAATTGGGGATAGCCCAGGGTGCAGAGGAAGACCTTTACCTTTTTAAGCTAAGATCTCTCTCAGGTCTCAGTTTATCTGAGGCAATACCCACTCAGTAAATAAAGGCTAGTTAAGAATAGAGACAAAAGAAAGCCTAGTTTGCCTTCACAAGAAAATCAATCTGGGAGGGAAAGACCCTCAAAGTTTACAGGAATAATAGCCCAGGTAATGGTAGTGACCACAGAAGAGACAAATCTTGCGCCAAGTGCAAGGTAGATTAATTAGTCATCCCTGCTGAGAAGAGTGAGAAGGAAACTGGGGCAGATATGGGTTGACTTAATGGTTTTTCTTTCAGTGATTTCATCATCTCTAATTAATTGAATGACTATTTCTATGCAAATGACTCTTAAATATATATCCAGCCCTGGTTTGTGTACTAAATGAAAGGCCACCTACATTATTATTTTCTGAATATCTCTACCTCTAACTCAACATGTTCATATTGTAACTCGCTAGCTTCCTCATTCAACCCATTCCTAATTGACATCTCTCTATTTTTGGTAAGGGTCTCACCATCCTTCTAGGCACCCAGGTTCACAACCTTAGGTTTATCCTTGACTCTTCCCTTTCCCTCACTACCTAGATCCAATTAGATGACAACTGCTTAAGATTTCACCTGTACAATATCTCCCTCATCTGTACCATTCTCTCTATTCATGTGATTCCTACCTTTGTTTGGGCCCTAATCACATCTATTGCATTAGCTTCTTAATTGATCCCCCAGATTACTGTCTCTCCTTTCTCTAATCTCTCCTCCTCATGGCTACCACAACACTTTTCTTAGGGCACTGGTCTGATCGTGTCACTGTCTTTCTCAAAAACCCTTAGTGGCTCCCTATTATCTCTAGGATAAAATATTAATTTAACCTAATATTTAAAGCTCAGTACAATGTACCTCCAACCTATCTTTTCAGACAGTCCATATTCTACATTCACTCACTTTTCCAACCAAATTGTACCCCAAACTTGACATTCCATTTTCAATCTCTATGCATTTTCACAAACCATCCCCCATGCCCATAATATGCTTCTTTCTTATCACCATCATTTACTATACTTGTCTTCCTTAAATGCTTAGTTCAGGAATCACTTCCTAAGCGACACTTTCCTTGATCTAACCAATTTCGAGGGCTCTCTTTCTCCTCCAATCACCTTTTATTTCCTATCTATGTACATGTTGTAAATCCACAGTCAAATGCAAGCTCATGGAAGACAATGACTATCTCTCATGTTTATATCAGTATTTTCAGCTCCATTGGAGGTCCTGTGCATAGCACATGCCATGTCTGTGGAAATGAATGAATTTCCATCAACCGTAGGGAGATGAACAGGGAGAAAAGAAAGAAAACAGAACAGATAGGATAAAGTGGATTGTTCATGGCGGGTTCATGAACAATCAGCAGCTCTTCAGTAGATTCTTGGGCTCTGAGCTTCCTAGGCTTTTTTTTTTTTTTTCCAGTTTGCCTTTAGGCCTTAGAGACAAGGAAGATAGGAGGAGCTCCAAAGATGGCAACTTTACAAATTCCTTCCCTGGGAGGTGCCACCTTGTGTTTCTCATTTTCTGTTTTTTTTTCCCCTTGGGAATAGCAAATTGTAGTAGAAAGGCACTAGATCTGGAGTCAGTAGTACTAAGATTACATTTTGGATCTTACTGCCACTTAATATGCGTATGACTTTGAACAAATCACTTAACTTTGTTATGCCTCAGTTTCTTCATCTGTAAAATAAGGGGTTTGGACTAGATAACTTTTAAGGTACTCTAAATCCTATGATTCTATGGTCTCAGCTTGATGCATTTCATTTACCCACACCCTCAAGAGACCAACAGAAATAGACTTGATGGTCCCTCCCTTCCCCTGAAAGCTCTCGTTGCCACCCTCATGTACCCTAGGTGGTCAAGGGGGAAAGAGCACTGGATCTGGAGTCAGATGACCTGCCTTTGGTTCTTGGTGATGACACTTACTACCTCTATGCAACTGAGTCAGTCATATAGCTTTTTGAGTCTCAGTTTACTCCTCCATTAAATTATGAGGTTACACTAGATAATCATAATAGACATAATAAATCATAATAGATAATAATAAATTATGATTGTACTTTCTCCTCTCTTTTCCTTGCCCCATCATCACAGGATCAGAGATTTAGAGCTGGAAAGGATCCTAGAGGTCATTGAGTTTCAACCTCCTCATTTTATTCATGAGAAAACTGAGACACAGAGAGGTTAAATGATTTGCAAGGGTCTCACAATTGGTAAGTGAGATGGGATTTGAACTTAGGTCTTCTTGACTATACTCCCTGGGCCACACTGAATACACCATGCTGCCTTTCAACAACAACAACAACAACAACTCTCACTCTCTTGTTGCCTCAAGAAGTTTTCGGTATTTACCCCTTGCTCTCCCCACCCCTACATAGTAATGGTGGTTGGAGAGGCGTGAGGTAGGGACACCGAGGTACCATATTGTAAGGGCACCCAGATACCCAGCATTATTGTGTGGCTGCTGTGTTTCCCCTCAGAGTAAGCTATACTTCATCAGTCCCTGAATCCTCAGGAATTCAGAACAAGAACCAGGCCAGAGGGTGGCATTTTTCCCCACCCTGTTACCCGGCAAGCATCATTCCCCTCAGACTTCTGTAGGCTGCCAGGCTTGGTGCCTCGTACCAGCCTCGAGTTGTAGATGGGTGACTTCATGGGGGTGGCCATGGGGCAGTTGATTCGCTTTTCTTTCTGGCGCCGATTGCAGAACCAGACCCGAACCACCTCCTTCTCCATGGAGAGCTGTTCAGCAATTAAGGAGATCTCCTCAGAACTGGGCTTGGGGTTCTGCAAGGGAGAGGAAGGCCAGGAAGGAGTATTAGAAGTGGAGGGTCAGGGTTGGGGGAACAGTCACCTCCCACTCAGCCCTGAAGAGGAGAGCCTAGGACTTCCATGGGGCTGGGGGAGAGGAGATGGCATGGCAATCAGATACTTGGCTGGTGGTCTTACGAGGGGAATTGAACTTATATTCTCTGCATTTTTCTAGGTCAGGGGAGGAATGATCCTCTGAATGCCCTTCCTAAATGGACTGATACTCTGGTGAGTATCAAGGTGAAAAGTGAACTTACGTCTTGAAATCTCTTTTCCAAAGTCAGACGGATATTAGTTTCGATGCTGGTCCTCTTCTTCCTTTTCCGACCAAAAACCTCACTGAGGGAGGGGTAAGAACTGGGGGTACTCACTGTGGAGTCTGAAGGAGAAGACTCTGTAGGGAATGAGAAGGAAGCACAAGAAATGCTCCATGAAGGAAAGAAGGAGTTGGTACAGATCCCAACTCCAATAGTCTTACCATGTTACTCCTTGGCTCAAAAATCTTCCATGGCTCCCCATTGCCTCTAGGATAAAATACAAACTCCCCAAACTGGCATTTAAAGCCCTCCACCATTTCTACCCACCTTTCCTGTCTTCACTCATACTACTCCCCCACTCCCAAACTTTATATTCCAGCCAAACAGGGCTTCTAGCTGTTCTCTTTTCTTGACCCTCCATCTCTCATCCCTATGCCTTCACATAAGCTAATGTCCATATTTGAAATGTGCTCTCTCTTTCATTTCTCAGAATCCTGGGACTTTGTCAGGGCACATCTCAGGTATTACTGCCTAAGTGAATTCTTCCCTGATTCCTCTGGTTAGCACTCTCTCCCTCAATTTTCTTTCCATTTTATCTATTTGGGTGCATAATGTTCCCCCTACCCCCATGAGTCCTTGAAGGCAGATGCTGCTCCATTTTTGCCCTTGTACCTCCAGCTTCACGCAATAGAAAGTGCTTAATAAATATTAGTTGAATTGAATTCAGACCAGACACCAGTGAATAGGTCCTGTGTGAACATGTGGCATCATTACCATTGCCAGGGCTGCCCAGCAGGGAGGAAAGGACATGCTCAGGAAGAGCCTGCCAGATTCAGATTTTTCCCAGCTGAGTTGGGCCAAGGCTATTCCCACTTCCTAATAGCAATGGATCTCAGATTTGTAGCTCATGGTGCAGGGATGCTTTAGGAAATGAGAGAAGGTATATGTGTGCACATATGCGCAAACCTACACTCATATGAGTATGTTTGCAATAGGTTAAATTAATTAATTTTTTTTAACATGCCAGAAAGTTTAACTAAAAGTAAAATGCAAGCTGGCATTTCAAGCTAAGAAGCCTGACACTTTGTTTGGGAATTGTTGTTGTTGTTGTTGTTTTGCAAGATGACAACACTAACACCATCTCCTCACTCTCCCAAATGCCTCATTGAAACCTCCCCAAGGTATAGTCAAATCTGACAGACTAGAGTAACCATATTTATTAGGGTATCAAGGTGGGCACCACCCTCTTTGGGCCTCTGAAATATTCCTTTGCATGCCATCCGTACCACCCACCTGCATCGTTGAGCCACTTTTCCAGGAGTGGCTTGAGTTTACACATGTTCTTGAAGCTCAGATTGAGGGCTTCGAATCGGGAAATCGTGGTCTGGCTGAAGTCATTGCCATACAGCTTCCCCATGGCCAGCCCTACGTCACCCTGCCCGTTGGAACAAAATGGAGATCTATAAGAGAGACCATCCTCCTCTTCATTCCCCACTTCTCCCAGCACCCCACCAGCTGCCCTATCCTTTCACAAGCCACCCAGGATCCCATCCTCATCAACCATATCAAATAAGTTTCTTTACAAGCCAGAAGATTAATTAATCTTCTTTCACTCTGAGCAGATCTCTCCCCATCTGTTCTGGGACCAATGCCCACATGGTACTACTGCCTGGATCTGTCACCTCTATACAATGAAAGTCTGACTTTTTTCCCTTATTAATACAGCATTTACTTATTTTCTTTTTGTCAAACCTTGGGCCAGTGGTTTTTCCTTTGGCTGCCTGGGGAGACAGAGTGGGAGATATACATGGGGTAGAGGACACACAAGAAGAGAAGGAGTAAATATGACTCTTCATGTGGCAAAAGAGATGAGGAAGATTTAAAAAAGTCTTAGTTTCTACATGGGGCAAAGGATAACCAATGATGATGCTTCCCCAAATAGTCCTGACACCAGCCTCTAAGCCAGCCACCTCCACTTGAATATCTTTGAGGGGAGAGGTAACCTATCCAGGTCCTCAGTTTCCCTATAAGTGGCCATTGTGTTCTGAATTTCAAAGCACACTGTTCTGAAAATGAGCTCACAGCAAACCTGACGTTGCTTTTATATATCTGAAAACCTTTTTCTCCCATAGGGACTTGACTAAGTTTCTGCTTTATTTTGCATTAGTCTCATCCTACTTTCCTACTAATAAGACCAGGTTTTTTTTTCCTTCCCTTTCTCAAAATTCCCTCTTCTTCTCCCTGCCCCTAATCCCAACCTGAGTGAAGCCCAGCTTGATCCGTCTCTGCTTGAAGGTCTTGGCAAACTTTTCTAATTCCTCCAGGTCACTGGGCTCATCTGGCCCTCCGGAGTTGGGCAAATGTTTGGAGACTTGAATATGTTGTGACACATCCAGGTGGGAGTCTAAGGATGATCCTGGCAGCCCAGGGCGACCGACTGCCTGTTGGGTAAAAAAAAATATGACCCCAAATCCGCAAATACTCTGGATCCCAGGAGGTGTTCTCTCGGATACTTCTAAGCAAACTTCTAAACTCCTGAAGGAGGATGTTGGCCTACTTGTATTCAGGGGCAATAATGTCGTGGGATTTAGAACTGGAAGAGAGCCCTCAGCCCTCTCACTTTACAAATCAGGAAACCGAGGCACAGAGAAGCTAAGTAATCTGCCCCATGGATAATAACTAACAGAGCTGAGATCCAAACCTAGGCCCTCTGACTCCAAATCCAGTATTCTTCTCATTTCACTGTGCTGCGTCACCTTGGATGCAACTCAGACTCCAATTTCAATCAATAATTAATCAATCAATAAAGATTTATTAAGCACCTACTATGTGCCAGCCACTATGCTAAGTGTTGGGTTACAAAAAGAGGCAAAAGACTACTCCGTGCTCTCCAGGAGCTCATAGTCTAATGCGGGCCTGCGCAATTTACAGCCTGCCAAAAGATTTTGGGCAGCTCATGAAAAGTGCAGAGGAACACACTGGAAATCCTTTGGTGTGCCCTCGGACCATAAGCAGCCCTGGGCTGCAGGCCATACAGGCCTGGTCTAATGGAAGAGACAACAGTTTTCAAAGGAGGAGAGAAGGAATGTGGACTTCTCTAAGAAACAGTATGTTATCATGGACAGAGCACTGGGATCACAAAACACCAACCCTATAGACCAACACCTCAGAAAGTAATAATAATAGCTAGTATTTACAAAGCGTTTTTTAAGGTTGACAAAGTTCTTTACAAATAGTGTCTCATTTGCTCCTCACAATACCCCTGAGAAGTGCTATTATCATGCCCATTTTATAGCTGAGGAAACTGAGGCAGACCACTCTTAAGTGCCTTGCCCAATGCCACACAGATAGTAAACATCAGAGGCAGCTCCTTCCGATTCCAGATCCAGCACTCTATCAACTGTGTCACCTAGCTGCTTAATAACAGCTAGCATTTATATAGTGATCTAAGGTCTGCAAAATGCTTTCCAAATTCTATCTCATTTGATCCTCCTGACAATCCTGGGAAGTAGGTGTTCTTATTATTACCATTTTACAGATGAGGAAACTTAGGCAAACAGAGGTTAAGTCATTTGCCCAAAGTCACACAGCTAGTGTCTGAGGTTACATTTGAACTCAGGTCTTGTTTTATCCGTTTCTTCAGGGCAGACTGAAGATGTCCAATAAGTATTCATTAATGATGACAGAGGGAGGTAAGCCAGCTAGAGAGGTATCATTAGGTTTAATACTCAATTATCCTATTAGAAGTTCCAGGCTTCAGTGCAGACATTTTCAAACCACAATGACTACTCTTTTTACTTCCCAAACCACCATCATTCTTTCTAGGTAGAGTTGATTTTATTAGTAACAGAGGATACTGTTTTGTCTTTCTACCAACCTTGCACCATCATATCATCTCTTGCACATATAATATCTCCCCCGCCTCCTTCCTGATTTAACCTAATATTAACACAGAGGTGTGGCTAGAAGTTTGGACTTGAATTCAGTAAGACCTGAGTTCAAATCCTGTCTCAGATACTTACTTGTTGTGTGATACTGGGCAAGTCAGTGAAAGTCTCTGAGCCTCAGTTTCCTTATCTATAAAATAGAGACAATAATACCTCTAATACCTACATTTTAGGGTTTTTGTTAAGTTTAAATGAGATGATGATGTATATAAAGTATCTTGTACACTTTGATATACCACACAAATGTTAGTAGATTAATAATAATAATAATAATAACAACATTTATATACCATTTATTATATATCGGGCACTGTGCCATTATTATCTTATTTGATCCTTACAACAACCCTGAAAGGTAAGTACTAATATTATCCTCAATATGCAGATGAGGAAACTGAAGCAAGCTGAAGGTTAAGTGGCTTGCCCAGAGTCAGAGAGCTAGTAAGTATCAGAGGCTAGATTTGAACTCAGGACTTCCTGATTTCAGACCCAGTGCCCTGTCCACTGTGTTACTTAAATCCCCCATATTATCATTACATTAAAATGTACCTTATGCTTTACACGATACCAATGTTGGGGGGAAGAAGGGGTCTGTGATATTGACTCAACTTTTAAAGTGTGCTTCATTCCCAACATGATGCAAAACCCCATTGGCTCAGGATTCTAGAGTGGGAATCTATGGATTCCTAAAAAAGTAAGTAATTTGTGACAAGTCCCTTCTCTTTGACATTGAGGTAGGCAATGACTCTTTAGAGGAGACTTTGTGGTTTAGTCAAAAGGGCTTTGGTTTGGAGTCAGACAGCCTAGTTTTGAATCCTGGCTCTGCCATTTAGAATCTACATGACATTGGCCAATTAATTTTCCTTCTCTGTGCCTCAGTTTCCATATGTAAAATGAGAGAGTTGAACTAGGTGATCTCTAAGAATGTTTCCAACTTTTAAAAGTAGACTGAAGGCATCCCATAAGTATTAATTGATGTTGATGTCAGAAGGTAAGTCAGCTAACAGCTATCATTAGGCTTAATACTCAGTTATCCTAATAGAAGTTCCAGGCTTCAGTACTTCTGAATATGGGACTCACGTCCCATTATTCCTTCATTAGAAGTTCTTTAAAATGGAGTAGATTGGTATCTGGGTGGACTGATTTAGATAAATGCCTGCTTGAGGATATAGGATGGACAAGACAGCTTGTCAAGGTCCTCATAAATTTTATTTGGTGACTTGTAGGGGTCAATTAAATTCCTTCTAGCTCTAGCCTTTTCTGATTCTAGGACTCTACTTAAGGTGAGAAGAAAAGGGCAGATGAAAGTTAGAACCCAGGTGTCCCCACTTTAATTTAACCACCAGGTGGCACTCTCTGCTCTTGAAGGCTCAATCAAGAGGCAGGCTTCATGGAATTCATGTCTTATTCAAACTTTCACTTGGCTTGATTCCTGGAGCCTATGGTCAGAAATAGGACTCTTATTTTCCATGTGTCTGAGAATCCCAGGGAATTTACACTATGCTCTCTCTCTATTAGATCATTTCTAACCATTTTCCCCATACATCTCAGGGTCCTCCACTAAGATCTAGTAGAAAGAACATTAGATTTGGAATCAGAAGACTTCCTTTTTAATTCTGGTTCTGTTACTACCTATGTGACCCTGAGCACTCACTTAGAGCTTCAGTTTCATTGCTTGTAAAAGGAGGGGGTTGGAGTAAGTGATTTCTGAAGTCTAATCTCTAGTTCCCACGATCCTTTTTCCTTGTGTAGCACCATTGCAGGATTAAGTCTAGGACAGTCTCTTTGATGGTCTTGAATGGTTCCAGAGCTTAAATGAAACCCTAATACATCTCTCCTTCCTGTGGCCTCATGGCTTGCCAGTTCCCCCTAGCTTCTAGTATCCCTCAGTGCAAATAGAAGTGTAAAAAACTGAGCTGGTGGTCACCAAATAGGTCCCAACTTGGGGAGCCTAGGAAATTGAAACCTACTTCCCCAGGGTATGATTCCAGTTCAGGATGTTTTTCCCAGAGGAATGGGACTCAATTATAGGCAGCTAGGTGGGGCAATGAGTAAAGCATTGAATTTGAAGTCAGGATGATCTGAGTTTGAGTCCTGCCTCAGATACTTACTAGCTGTGTGACCATGGACAAGTCACTTAACCACTGTTTATTTCAGTTTCCTCATCTGTAAAGTAGGGTTAATAATAGCAGCTACCTCCCAAGGTTGTTGGGAGGATTAAATGAGATAATATTTGGAAAGTGTTTTGCAAACCTGAAAGTACTAATGCTAGTCATTATAATAATAAGGTATGTGACTTAATGGGGAGAATGTCAACCTGGAAGTAAAGTGTTTGGGTTCTGGGTCTATATCTCCTGTTGGTATTAGGCAAGCCATTTCCTCATTGATGTAGCTCTGGTTTTCCTATCTAGGACAGTAAGATCACAGAATTGAAAGGAACTTTTAGTCTACCCACTCACCCCCTCATTTTGCAGAAGAAAACTCTGTTGAAAAGACAGTGTTTCTTGCTGCTTTCTCTGTTCATGGGGTGCCAGGGTAAGAGTAGAAATGAGCACAAGCAGGCTTCTTAGAGGAAATATGGAGAACACTGATTACCTGAGATGCCAGGCCAGGTCCAGTCTGTGGGAGGAGGAAGCTGTTTTGTTGCTGAGGAAACGGGAGAAGATTTGACTGTAGACCTGAGGGAAAAGGGAGAGAGAAAAACATGGTGAGGATAGGAGAGGGAGACTGAAACATTTACTTTGTGAGTTCTATAGCAAGGTTGATACCACCTGTCTCATACCAGATCCCTTAGTGCATTCCACACCCCCTGGAGAGCCTGCCCCGAGTGCTACCAGGCATTGATTGCCACATGCAGGCGGCGGTGGTAAATTGATGAATCAGACAGGGGGACAAACAGGGATGGGAACAGCAGTCCCCAAACGAGTCCTTCTGCTAGGCAGGGAGAGGTGTGCAGAAGAGTGAGGGAGGGCCAAGTTGATAACTCTGGGAGGTATAAACAAGATGGGAATCAGATAACACGGAGACTGTTCATGAAGAAACCAAAGAGGGGAGGAGGCCTGAGGGCCCAGTCCTAGGGGCTTCTTCTGAGAATTCAAATGGGAGCCTAGGGGTTTTGGTTCATCCCACAAGAAAACATAAGTGGGCTAGCTATGAAAATGCTGACTGGACCTCAGGAAGCCTCTAAGCCTATACCTAATTGATAATGATAAATGTCATTTCCTGAATGATAAATGTCATTTCATGCTCCTCTTTTTCCCTTTCCCCTCTAATGAGATTAACTAGGAGGGGGCCATTCTGACAACAGTGTTTTGGGATCCAGTCTGATCCAGAGAATTGAAGCAATGGTCTCCTATAGCCCACTTCAGGAACAGGGCCATCAAAGCCAAAATGTACCCCTGTCAATTGTCACAGGATCCTATTTAGAGTTGGAAGGAAATCTTGAAGTTATATAGTCTAACTTTTTTATTTGCCACATATAGGAGCTGAGACCCATGGAGGTTGATCAAGCATCTGTTAGGTGCCTACTTGCCCAGTGAGCGGCAACATGGTATAGTGGATAAGGAGCTGGTTTTGGAGCTAATGACACCTCAATTCAAATCTTGACTGCTACATACTTGCTGTGTGACCCTTAGCAAATCACTTAACCTCAGTGGTATAGTCCAGAGATGGCAGCATGAAGCCTGCAACACTCCCAGAATGAGGCCTAATGAGTAAAATTTAATTGGGAAGTACTTAACAAAATAAATAAAAATACAACAGATAACATGTGGTTTTCTACGTCACTATGCCTCCACAGCATGTATGGTTTTCTATCTGAGTTCGACACCATTGGTCTAGGAAACTCTCTAAGAAGGTAAATTACACCTGCCTTGGTAGAGAACACTTCATTGCACGAGTATTCCTTATACCAGTGAACTGACAGGTTGGGTCCCTACCCCTTTACCCCTATCTAGTATGTGCCAGGCACTGAGTTAAGCACCGGTGAGGTAGTTTGTGTGACTCCAATTATTCTATAGAGGATGGTACCAGTGGTTGTCCTTGCTGTCTACACTAAGCAGTAAATGTATTGCTACTCTACAAACAAAAATAAAAAGGTAGGTGAAAATCACAATAAGCAAGCAGTCTGGTGGGCCAGTCTCACAGCTGCTGCTGAACTGGGTTGGGGGGCGTTCTCCAGTCCTGTTTCCCCATCCTCAGAAAGAACAAAAACTAGCTGTCTCTGCCTATCTCAGCAAAGGGGTGAGGGATAGCTAAATAAACCCATGAAAGGAAGGTTCAGGGCATTGTCATTTTTATCAGAAGCTTGGAAACTGAGTCTAGGTGGTATCCTCCTGACAGCTGTGAGGAACCAAAGGGAAGGATGAGTGAATACTTTTTTCCTTTGATTCTGGTTTCCCACACAGTCCCTTGCATTTTCAGGAAGTGAAGGTAGAGGTAGGGGGCAAGGGAGTAGTCAGAATATATTTATGGAATGGTGCTTTGCCTGTGTGCTTTCTGGCCACCCAGTGTGGGAGGAGGAGTGTGAGTGGGTGGAGAAGAGAGAGAGGGATCCAGGAATCGAGAAGGCTGGACACAACTCTCTGGAACATTCTTCTAAACTCCCCAGGACAGTCAAGTGTGGCAGCTTACTCCACTCACCGCAGACCTCCGGGCAAACCTCCATGCTGCCCCTGGGTGGCACCATTGCTCTGCCCAAACAGAACCATAGTCGACTTCCCCCCCTACCCTGGAGCAATAAGGCTTAGAACAGCCTTCCTTCCCACTATAGCCACAAGGAGGTCAAGATAAATTTCCACAGAACTGGGATTTCCTGGTGCTGCAGTTGCTGGTCTGCTCTTGGAGAGGCTTCTCTTTGCCCCTGGGGCTGAGGCCTGGAAAGGAGAGAGATTGAAACGGATCTGGCAGCAAATGGGACTCCAGAGCACAAGAGAATAGTCAGAATGAGGAATACAGGGGCCTTTTCTTTTTTTTTTTTTTTAATTTTTTTTTCTTTTTAAGCAATTGGGGTTAAGCGACTTGCCCAGGGTCACACAGCCAGCAAGTGTCAAGTGTTTGGTCTGAGGCCGGATTTGAACTCAGGTCCTCCTGATTTCAGGGCCAGTGCTCTATCCACTATGTCACCAAGCTGCCCCCAGGGGCCTTTTCTTAGGAACAGGCTGTGCTCCCCACTGAGGGGCCAGCTGCTAACAAGTGGGCACTTCACAAATACTTGTCCCTGGTTTGATAAAATGGTATTGAGGTTCAAGGAGAGAACGTCAGGGCATCTTACCTTGTTGCCCAGACTGCGACTGAGACAGCAGGAACTGTGACACAGACTGTAGGTGGCTGGGAACCAGGACGAGCTGCTGGAGAGGATGGAGGGAAGCCATGTCCTATATATGGGGAGACACAGTTTACCGAACATATGAGCTGGGGTCAACTGGCCCATCCACCTACACCTCATATCTAGTATAACTACTCTTTTTTCTCCCTAGTAATTAGTTGCACAGACCCTTGTGAAACCTTTTGTACTGTTCACCTCTGTCATTTGCCTTGTCATTTACTTTTTTTAAAAATAGGCATTACGTTTATATACCTAAACTCCATCATGCTCTCTGAGGGCACTGGAAGCTCAGATGCATTCCCAAACATCTAAACTGATTTAACCCGAGTCCAAAGATCAGGCCAGAAGCCTTGTTAGGAGGAGTTAGATGAGATTAAACCCAGTGATGAGTAGCAATTTGGGGTTATTAACTTTGGCTAGATCACAGACCTGAGGCTGAGGGACTCATTAAAAACAGCAACAACAACAACACATTTTCATCATTGCATTTCGATGTAATTTCAATGTCTTTCGATATCTCCTTTGTAATCTTGTGTATTTTATTTTATGCATTTAAAAACATTATTCTGACAAGAAGTCAATAGGCTCTATTAGACTGCCCCACAAAAAAGAAAAAAAAGATTTAAAATCCTGGACTAAATAGATGAGGGAATCCCATCAAATCATTCCAGAACAGCATGGTATACTGGAAAGCATCCTGAATTTGAAGTCAAAGGACTCTAGTTCAAATTCTAGCACTTCTAATTACTGCTTGGGTGACGCTGGTCAAATTACTTATTATTTGGGTCTCAATTTCCTTATCTGTCAAATGAGGGTGTAGATGACCACTAAAGTATCTTTCCAGTTCTAATCCTATCGTCTCTTTAAATAAGGCCCAGTAATGAGTTATTGGCCTAGATCAGATAGATCCTTCTCTCCATGGTCCCCTATCCAACTTGCCTTGGGATATTTGGGAAGCTTAGTGAGTCCAGGGCTTCTCTGGTGCCATGTAGCTCTCATAGAATATAGCAGGGTGCTATGCCTATAGTCAAGTGTTCAATAAATACTTGTTTAACAAACAAATGAAAGGCCTCCAAGAAAGGAGACTCCTATCTTCTCAAGTTACCATTTCAAAGAATAGTACATTCCCTTCATCTCTGTCTTTTTGTCCTCCCCCACCTTAAGAGTTAGTTTTGAGTTGTGCTATGACTCTGACATAAAACCATAACAGGAAGGAAGCCACTGGGAATGTCAGATCATGCAGAAGTAACCCTCGATGGACATTGATGGCAGGCCCTCCTGAAGACACAGGCATTTCTGAAATGGTCTTCCATTTAGCAGTTTTGGCTCTCAGATTTCCAAGAGAACCAGCATACTTCCTCCCCAACTTCTTAGCCATGCTGATTCTTTGAAAAATCTCTTTTTCTCTCAATTTTCTAACCCCTTCCTAACACTCACTGCTTGGGGCTTCTTCAGACAAAGTATGGGTTGACTTCGAAAGGAGTGAGTCACTGGGTGCTAGGCTCTGACTTCAAGTCCCCTCTGAGGAATGCTACCTTCCCATTGAGAAGATCCAGGCTTCCTGAAACTGGCTGATAGTTACCCCAGGCATCTGGTTTCCTGACATCATGGCAGGTCCTTGAGACAGGTGGCAGGGCCTGTGTGATAGTGGTGGCTGCAAGGAATCACTGAGATCTTCAGTTTTGATCTGCAAGAAGAAATAGGAAAAGAGTTAAAGTAAGCTTCTTCCAAAGGGAGAGGTCTGGAGTAAGCCAAGAAGGAGTGGGGGAGGAGGAGAGTAGAAAGTTATCAGGCTTTGTAAATAACTACTTGCTCCACTACTCTGAAAAAAGTATGAGCACTTGGTATGTGGCGAATTACTTTGCTTTAACTGTCTTTCTTACCTTACACAGGCAGGATGGTAGAGTGTTAAGAGTGTCAGATTTGGAGTGGATAGAGAGCTAGATTTAGAGAAAAGAATATCTGTATTCATATCCCTCTGATGCTATCTGTGTGACCATGTTGTCTCTTCTACAAAATATAAGCTCCTTGAGGGCAAGACTATTTCATTTTTTTTGTTTGTAGATCTAGCACATTTCCTAGAGCACAGTAGCTAGCTTGTTGATTTATTTGTGTCCATTTTTTTTGAGATTGTGTCTGCCTATCTTGCCCAGTCTAGGGGTGTAGCAACTACTCATGGTCTGACTCCAAAGCTGATCTTCACAAGCTTTGACCTGCTCCATTTTACACTTGGGCCAATTTGTCCCTTGTTAGTCAGCCTGATGGCTCTCCAGTCAACTAATAATCACTCAGAAATGTATTGGTGCCAGAATTAGTATGGACTTCCATTCAGCTTTAGTGGTAGTACAACTCAAAACTCCCCAACTCAAGTGATCCACCAGCCTCAGCCTCCTCCTGTAACAGGGTCTATAAGCATGAGCCAGGAGGCCTAGTTTGTTGATGACTGCTTGATCAATCAAGGACAAATCACTTAATCTCTCTCAGCCTCAGTTTCTTTTTTTTGGGGGGGTAGGGGGGAAACAACTCCAATCACCTTTATTGTTACTACTTTTACCATCAATTCAGACAAATGAGCTGATCCTAGGCTTGGGGGAGGGGGGGGCTGGGGCGTGGCTTCACAGCCCTGTCAAGCATGGTATTGCAAATTGGCTTTCTTCTTGGCCAGCACCTGCAGCCTCCATGTAGTCTTCATGGATGAGTTCAGTCCCCCCCATACACATCAAAGCACAATCATTCCTGCTTCCACGAACACAGCCTTGCACTGGGTCCCATTGAAGTCAGCGGTGCAGAGAGCCAGCTCCTCATAGTTCAAGTTAGGGCTCACATTCATCTTCTGGGAATGGATCTACGTGATCCTAGCTCTGGCTTTCTCATTGGGCATTGGGAACTCAGTCTTTCAGTTCAGACAACCAGAGCGCAGCAAGGTGGGATGTCCACCCTGTTTGTAGCATCAATCACCTTGACTTGGGTGTTAGGCTGAAATCCATCCAGCTGATTCAGGAGTTTCAGCATCGTCCTCTGAACTTCTTGATCCAAAGCACTTGGTTCCAATGGCATCCAGTTCAATCAATGAAGATAATGGAGGGAGTTTTCTCTTTGGCCAGCACAAAGGCATCTTGGACAAGCTTTGCTCCATCCCCAGTGAACATCTGTATGAGCTGTATGAGCCAGCCAATTTCAGGAAGGTGGCCTTGGTCTGGGTAGTACATGCTCAAGCTAGCAGGGTTTTTCCAGTACCAGGGGTTCCATCAATACTCCCTTTGGATGCTGGATCCCCAAATTCTCAAATTTTTCTTTATAGTCAGCCTCAGTTTCTTTATTGGGTAAATGGAGACACCAATACTAGTAAACCCTCCCTCAAATGAGATGGTATACGTAAAGCCACATATAAATCATTATTGTTACCTGTGTGGCAAGCCCATAGTAAAAGTAAGGGGGCTAAACACTGTGAGTACTTGTTTACAAGGCAAAGGAACATGGCTGAGACTCCACTGCCTCCACCCCAAGGATTCACTTTTGATTTGCCAGGTGTATTGCAAATAAAGAGTTTGTGTTTAGGTACATTTCTCAGTGTCCCTCCTCTCTCCAGCTTCCTTTTCCTTCCCTTCCATCCCTAGCTTCCCAGCTTCTCGAGCTTTCCCCCTCCAAATTTACCTTCCATCTGCTCTGTATACGTACTCTTCACATATCTGGTATGTAGCTATTTATTTACACATCTCTGTTTCTCCCATTAGAATGTAAGCTCCTTGAGGGCAAGGACTCTCTTATGCCTTTCATGGGATCCCTAGTGCCTCAGAACTATTTAAAACTTAGTGAACACTGGTTAATCCATTGATTGTGCAGGTAAGAGTAGATGACTTGTGAAGCTCCATCTGGCTCTGATGTTCTGCAATCCCGTGACGCTGTTATTTCCACTGCTGTCGCCCTTCACATGTGAAGCTGCCACCACACCCCAGGGAGTTTGGTGACAATCTCTACCATCCCATCCCGCCACCTCCTCAGCCCCCTCCACCCCATTGCCTATTTACAGGCATCAGTGTGTCTACTGACTTAACAGTAAGTGCCCCATCAGGGGTCAAAAAGGTCTTTTTTTGGTTTCTTGATCCCACCTTCAATCCTCACTCTACAGTCAACATGACAGATTGGCTCCTAGGGAGTCTATCTCCCCATCCCACCAGAATAAGTTAGCCATGCTGCCCCTTTAATGGCCGTCCACAGAATCAGCTTGTGAAGACCTGCTTCAGACCATCACTCGTCCAGTTTGTTGTGTGATCCTCTAGCACTCTGGGCTAGACCTGGGGACCCAGTATGTCTTTTTTTTATTAATTAATTTATTTTTAGTTTTCAACAATCACTTCCATAAGCTTTTGTGTTTTAAATTTTTCTCCCCCTCCCTCCCCACTTCCTTCCCCAAGACAGTATGCCATCTGATCCCAGTATGTCTTAAAATTGGCTTTTGAGTCTATATAGGGAAATAGGGTATTAGTTCTCCCTTGCCTTTCTCAGTAATTATTTTGTCTTTATTTTCTGTTTATCATCTATGTTTGTGCTAATTTTCCTCAACAGAATGTGAGATCTTGGAGGGCAGGGACTATTTCAATTTGTCTTTGTATCTCCAGCACCTAGTACAATTCCTGGTCCATAGTAGATGCTTAATATATGTGTGTTGAAAGAATGAATGGATGAGGATCTCTTAAAAATAAAAAAGTACCTTGACACACTTTTAAGTGTGTCATTATTAATATTTAATAAGCATTATTTACATTTCTCCATCACTTTCTTAAGTCTAGACAATCAACAAAATGACAAATGGAGACCTAGTCTGTAGCATTTGCCATGTGAATACTCACACTGAAATTTAATAATGGCGTTCCTGGGAGCCCACGGGCTGGTTCCAGTACACGTCTATCTCCCTACACACACACACACACACACACACACACACACACACACACACACACCTCTTTCCAGTCTTCTTGCACTTTACTTCCCCTCCATCCTCTTCTCTCCCCTCCACCAGTATACTCTTTGATCCACTGACTTTGTTCCTTGTACAGGACACTACATCACTTGACTCTGGGCATTTTCATCAACCATCGTCCATGCCTGGAATTCTCTCTTTCTCCTCATCTGTGCCTCCTCACTTCACTGGTTTCCTTCAAGTCTCAGCCAAAATCACACCTTCTACACAAAGCCTTTCCAGATCCCCCTTAATGTTGGTGCCTTCCTTCTGTTGATCCCCTCCAATTTTTTCCTGTATATAGCTTGTTTGTTTCTAGTTGTTTACATGCTGGTTAGAATGTGAGGTCCTGGAGAGGAGGATTATCTTTTGCCTTTCTTTGTATCCCCAGTGCTTAGAACAGTTACCAGCCCATAGTAGACTCTTAACAAATGTTTATTGACTGACAACTTTGTCATTTATTAAGCACTTACTATATGCTAAGCATTCTCAGCATAGGTGTTGGGGGAGCTATATAGTTTAACTGCAGTCAGATAAAATATGTTTACTTCCCCTCCCTTCCCAATGGAGCTTATACTAGATATTCATGTGTGAATAAGATTGTGCTAGGGCCAAAGTTGTTTTCGCTAAAACGAAACACACTTTGGCTGGAGAGACATGAGGATCTACCAAGTGACTTGGGTGTCTGAGATGTGAATTACAGAGGTTCAAATTTCCCAAATTGTCTCCAGCATGGCATAATAAAACTGGACTGGGAATTAGTACACCTGAGATCTAGTCCCAACTTTGCCACAGACTAGCTATGTGCTCTTAGGTGAGTTAATTAACTTTTTAAGGCCTCAGTTTCTTCAGTGACTCCCATAGACTATTAGAGATGGGAGTTTAGGTATCATCTAGTCTACCCAGCCCCTCCCTTCTTTATTCTGATGAGGAAACTTGAGGCGCAGGGAGGTAAAAGACTTACTCAAACTCACATATCAAGGTCTAGGGTCCCTTCCTGCTAAAATTCTATGATTCTGTGATTTTTAAGGACTTTTTTTAGTGCTGATATTCGTTCATTCTATGATTCCTTCCCATCAGCTTATGAAACACAGATGGCAATTCTTATGACATGAGAGATTAGGCGACTTGGTGAATGCAGGCTTTACCAGTGCTCTGAGGCTGTTGGGTAAAACTATAGAGTACAAAGGAGATCTGTTTTCACAAACAGCCTCTTTCTGGAATGGTCTTACTGATTTGCTTCTCTCTCTCTCTCTCCCTCTCCTCCTGCTTCAGTGGACCACTCTTGGGTCCTGCCAATAAGGCTCGAGAACAGAGAACAGGGAACAGAGGATGAACCTCATCCAGAGGAGAAAAGGAAGGCCTCAGGAACCCATATGTTACTTCCTAGGAGTTGGCCCACTAAAAGAGTCTCTGAGATTCTGTTGCCCCTTCACCTTTTCCACCCCCGCCTTGGATGGCACCATCATCTGATCAGTTATGAGTAATTTCTAGGTGTCCTACTGTTGCCCCAAGAATTTTAGATTTTTACATGCCAGATTCTAAGAAGACATTCAGCAGCTGGTTTTTAAAAAATGAGTGAGAAATAGAGTGTTTAAAAAAAAACTTAAGCCTTGCTCTGAAGTTGGGGGTAGGTGGTGTTATTGTTACTTAATTTAAGTGAAACCTTTCTGGTTGGGTATCCAAGGTTCCATAGAGTTCCACACTAGAATCTTTTTCCATCCCCC